GTTGTGTCCCTCACCTGCCTTCCCTTGCCACTGGTTTCACGTGGGACACTTTTTCCCAAGGTGTTTCCAGGGCTGTCCCTGTCCCTGTGTGCCCAGGCTGTGCCACTAGCACAGTACATGGGCCATGGGCAGCAGCTGGATGGGCTCACATTGATCAGCTCTGCTCCCTCCTTCCCCACCAGCTGTGGACCAATCTCCACTGCCTTTCTTCCTATAGGTCCATAGATGCAAAACTGTCTTCACAAGCACATAATTACCAAGCTGGGTATTTTCTCCTCTTAATTAGCCATGCCGTGGTGCTTTAATTGCTCGATTAAAGTTGCCCACAAGGAAGGTTTAAGGTACATTAAATTTGCTGATTCGTTCATCAGCATGAATCCCACCAACTGGAAAGAATTAACTGGTTTCCAGATTGCTAACCAGACTCTCCAGATCCATTTCCACCAGCAGTGTCCCACAGGAGGCACGAGGGAGCCCAGCAGTCCTTCTCTCATTCCCACTTCTCCTTCAGTCTGGGAGCTGGAGGGGAAAGGGTCCCAGCAGTGACAGGCTCAGAGGATATTCTTTGGCATAAGCAGAGCTGGGTAAAGTCTATCCCAGGGCCAAATCCTCACTCAGCCACACACACCAGCCCCTGTTTGGTGGTTGCTCTGGCTCAGGCTAGGAACACTCATCCCTGTGTGCAAATGGGATAAGGGAGCAGGAATTGCTCAGGAACTCTCTCCTCTCTGTTTCCCAGCCAAGCTGAAAGCCTAAGCACAGCAGAGGGGAAGAAGCCAGAGCAACCAGACACCTGGAGGAAAAGCTGCCTGTTCCCAAACTTTACATAGACATGACTGAACTGGGTCTGAGTCTACCTGGGGACACAGGTGGGACCACAATTCCTCCTGTGCTGTGCCCATGGGTAGGATCAATCCCACCAGAAAAGGGCAGGAGGGCAGAGAAGAGGTTCTCCCACACCTTTACTCCCTGGAGAAAGCAAACCTGTCCATCTCCTGAAAGCTATGGATATGCCACAAAGATGCTCTTTGGGAATGGCATTTCTGCATTCATCCACCCACTCACAGGGAGCAGAGCCTGGACCTCTGCTTTCCCTTTTCCATTTGTTTGAAGCAAACACTTCCTGGGAGATTCTGTGCTCCTGGAGGTCTCCATGGCTGGATGCTGGGAGGGGATTGTATCAGCTCCCAGAGAGCAGCACTGATCCATGGCCATGGCACTGCCACTAATGCTGCAAACTGAAGATTTTAGCCCAGTGTTCAGTTCTGTTCCCTGATAGCTGCTGACACATGCAGCCCAAGGCATACTTCAGATCCACTCCAAAAGGCTGACCCTGATGCATGGATTTACGTGGTCCAAGGATCAAGGTCCATCCACCAAGGACCACCACCACCACTCAAGGTCTTGGTGGCTCTTGCAGCCCTCCCCAAAGAAGGGCTGGTAGGAAGGATGTGAGTGAAGAACCACTGTCCTCACCTCCATGATCATCTCTCCATCCACCCACCCACAGGACATGGTGCTCAGGTCCCACTCTCAGCCTTTGAGGTGGGTTATGGGTCCTTCCCTTCCCACAGAAGCAGCCCCAGGGTTATGTGCTCCCCTTTCCCACGTCTCTAATTGCACTGACCTTATTGAAATGAGCCTCTATTTGTCCTGCACAGCAGCTGCATATCAATAAGGTGAATTATGCTGATTGTCTCCTTATCTGATAAATTGCTGGGACAGATCCTTTTCCCTCCTGCTCTTGCTTATTCTGCTGTTTAGGCAGAGCAGTTGCTATTTGCTGTGTGTAAGAGACATTAATGTGTCGTGCTGTGGACTGATGCATTTCAAGGAGGAAAAAGCAGCTGTGGGTGATGGGGTGAGGGAAGCAAAGTCCTTCAGAGCCTTGAAAACAGAGGGATAAACAAGTAGGGCAGCAGAGTTGTGCTGTCCTGGGAAAGACACCCTAAAGGGCTTCATCCTTGGGGTGGCTGTGGCAAGAGATGCTGTAGAACTAAACACTGGGAATTTTGGGAGGTGGTAGACCTCATCAGGAGATGTGGAAATCCCTGCTCAAACCTAGTTTCTGCCCAGCAAGACAGTAAGCTGGAAAAGGGGGTCCTGTGCCTCTGAGGAGGAATCAGGCAGAGGCAGGAGGCTCAGATAAGGGACAAATGTCTGGTGTGACACAGGAATGTGACACATCGGATGCCAAGCCAGATGACATCTTCAGGTGGTCCTGGTCCCAGTGTCCCTGGGCTGAGATCCCATGGAAACTGCCCCTCACATCCTTCTGGCACACTGCAGGACATCCCAACAGAGTGAAACGTGGATCCTGCTGGGATAAGTGCCAGGAGCCAGAGATCCCAGTCACCACCCTCCTGCCCAAACAAAAGGGCATCAATGTGATGGATGACAGCAAAGCCTCATCCCTGGAAGTGTTCAAGGCCACTTTGGACTGGGCTTGGAGCAACGTGAGCTAGTGGAAGGTGTCCCTGCCCATGGCAGGGGGTGGGACTGGATGAGCTTTAAGGTCTCTCCAAACACAAGCCATATGATTCTATAAAGGGGATGAGAGGCAGAGAAGTTCCCTGTGCTCCTCCACACCCTCCACCACATTTCACCTCACCCTGTCCTTCCCAGGTCTGTGGCACAGCCTTTCTTCTCCTCTGAAGGGCTGAGAACAGCTCTGGCTATGCTCTGGTTTCCTGAGCTGTCTTCCATCACTCTGGCAGGTCTTTAGAAAAATGAACATTAAAGAGGAGGGGGAGAAACCTCCACTGTTCAAACATCTTTAGCTTTGACAAATAAGGCGTCTGGCTGTGAAAGGCAGAAGGAAATTAATTTGGAATCACATTTTAAACACTGCCAGAGAGGCAAAGTATCTTCTCTCTCTAATTTTCACACTCCCCCCCCACCCAAACCCAAGCGAAAAAAAAAAAAAAAGAATTTCCCTGATATTTATAGAAAGATTATTAGGGCCACAAGGAGTGATTTATATCATCTCATCCCTGTGACCGAGGATGAAAAATCACTGTGGCGGCAGCGGCTGGAATCCTGCTTTGTCCTCCTGACAATTAAAACGGCTAATTCCCAACTCCAACCAATCCCTTGGGGTTATAAATCACCTCAGAAAGGCACTTTTCAGCCTGAAAAACCAACTCTACCCCAATCAGGCCCAAGATCAGAGATTTGCATCTGTTTGCTCTCGTGTGTAAATATCTGTCCTGCAAAGGAGGTGCTGGGAAGGAGGTGCTGCCACTGCTCCTTGGATGTCAGGTCATCACACTGAGCTGGGAGCTGGGGAGTGGGACAGGGAAGGCAGGAGGGGGAGACAACACTGAGGGCAGAGAAAGTCCAGTGACTTTTCTGTGCTGTTTCTGATGCCACAAGCCCTGGAGAGTTCCACCATGGAGCATCACTAGGTCTGATTCTACCTGGGGTGACATGTGGGACCACAATTCCTCCTGTGCTGTGCCTATAGGTAGGAGCAATCCCACCAGAAAAGAGCAGGAGGGCAGAGAAGAGGCTCTCCCACACCTTTGCTCCCAGAAAACAAACCTGCCTGAGGAATCACTGGGAAATGAAACACAGTACCAGTGTCAGGGCATCCCTCAGCCTTTGGGGTGGGATGTCCTGGAGCAGAGTGTGCTACAGGAGTGTTGGAGAGGAACACAGGGAAGGAACACAGGGAAGGAATAGAGGGAAGGAATAGAGGGGAGGAATAGAGGGAAGGAGTAGAGGGAAGGGGTGTTTGGCCCTGATGAACCAAAGCTCCGACTCACAGCTCTGTGCTGTGGTGGGGCTGACTCAGCAGTTCATGCCAGTGTCCCCTCCCACAGCAGCACACTCCTGGCCCCATGCACACCTTGCACTCTTTAACGTGATGGAAGATCCTTTCTGGATTATCAGCTCTACCCCAGGATGACTTTCAAAGCAATGGCTGCAGGAGGAGTTTTGGATGGAAGCATTTTTTCTGCCTGTCCTTCCCTCTCTGTGTTGCTGAGGACCCTCAGGGCTGTCACAGGTCCCAGCAGCCCCTGGATCCACTCCAGTCGGACGTCCTAACCTTGAGTAAAGTCTCCCTAAAACAAAAGCTCCACTCCACATCTCCATGAAAGTCAAACAAAGGCCCCACACTAGTGTTTGTGCTGTTCCCCTCACCACATCCCAGGAAGGAACGGAGAGCAAACAAACCCTCGTGGAGAGCTCTCCGGGGGAGCGTGAGCGCCGAGCTCTGTACACACACAGCCCCAGCACATCCCTGTGCCTGCTGCTGGTCACCCCCTGCCTTATCACAGTTTGTACAGTCAGCAGCTCACAGCCTGCCCAGCAGCATGCAGAGCCCCAGGAGGGCTCCCTGATCCCTGGGATGTGGGGTCTGCAGCAGCCCCAGGGTGAGGGATGGACACAGTGACCTTGTTTCATCAGAGCTCAGTGGTTTATTTTCTGATTTCCTCCTTTTCAAACCCTTGCCAGTGGTGAGGAGTTTTGGAGAGGCCAAGGTGTGCCTTGCTGGAGTGCCCCAGTGAAGATCTTAGCACCAGTCAGAGCTGCTGGGGGCACTGGGCTGAAAGCTCTGTGCCACACTCCATGGTAGTGACTGCTGCAGCCAGGATCCCTTTCCTGATGCCAATCCTGTTGCCCCTGTTCTGATGCCAGTCAGGACACAGCTAGGAGAGGGCAGCATGTGAGAGGTACTGGGAAGAGGTATCAGTGATTCCTGTAGAATGACAGCTTGTTCCTTTATCCCCTCCCAGATGGGAACATCCTTCCTTATTTGACCTCCCACCCCAAAGCCATGCCGTGTGCCCCAGGACCTGTCATGCTCAGCCTCACAGGAGCTTCCAGGGATCTTGCTGGTGCTACCAGCCACACATTTTGGAAGCATGAAGCCAACCAGCAAAAGCTTAGGCAGCCCTTGGCCTCCTTCCCCCCAGGCTGGCTGTCCCAGTTTTTGTGAGCCCCAAAGAGCCAAGAGCCCTTTGCAGCAATTTCCTCTCATCCCAAGCACTCACCCATGCAGGAATCCCTCTGCTCTTCATATCCAGCGCTGCACACACACTTCCCAATGGGCACCAACCACTCTCCTTCAGCACTGCAGTACATTTTGGGGGTGTCCCTCTCCTCCGAGTGCCCCACGCACTCCCCACGCACTTCCACCAAGGAGGACGAGTCCGCCCCGGTCACAGCCTCGGAGAAGGAGGCCAAGTTCCTCACCGTGGCTGGGCACTTCTTGTAGTACACCCTCACTGAGACAATGGCAATGCAGGCACCTATGTCCTGGAAGGCCAGGTAGAACCCCCTCTTGCTCAGGGGCCCCACACCTCGCACCTCTGTGTTCAGCTTGAGGCGCCGCACGCCGAGGTCCACGTTGGTGAAGCTCTCGTCGGCCGCGATGGTGTCGATCTTCAGGAACTGGCTCTCCCGGGTGCTGCTGCCCAGGTCCCGGTCAGACTCCATGTAGTAGAGGTTGAAGGTCTCCTTGCAGGTGCCCAGCACCCCTGGCATGCTGTTGCAGTCCCTCAGGGTGAATTTGATCTCCGCGTAGACCCTTCGTGCGCCATCTCGTTGCACCCAGTTGGTTCGTAGCCAGTTGTTCTGGTTGGGGGTCATGACATTGCACACTTGGTAGGTGTGGATGGGGCTGAAAAACTCATCCATTTCATTGATGGAATCCCACTGTGGGACAGAGAGACAACAGGTCACTGCAGATGTCCCTGGGCACCAGGTGAGTGCAGGGTGTGCAGAGGTCAGTGTCATCTCCCACCACGGGATGGATTTCCTCTGCTGCTGTGGCTGGGTGAGATGGCACTGTTGCCACAGGGAAAATGAGGAATAGATTTTACCCAACACTAACTTGGACAGTGAGTTTCACAGCCCACCCTGGTAACCATCTGACAAGCACAGCCACCCTGGGGAGGAAGTTGGGGGTGCATGGGAGAGTGGGAGGAGATGGTGGATGGTCTTGAAAGAGACTTGTAGAGAGGTGGGGGATGTCTGTCCTGCCAGGGCTGCAGGGAGAGGACTGGAGGGAATGGCCTTGAGCTGAGCCAGAGCAAAGCCAGAGGAGATGGTAGGAGAAATGCTTTCCTTGTGAGGGTGTTCAGGCACTGGAATATTGCCCAGGGAGGTGGTGGAGTCACCATCCCTGGAGGTGTTTGAGAGGTGTCTGGATGTGGTGCTGGAGGATCTGGTTTAGGGTTTAGAGGTTCCAGCAGTGACAGATTAATGGTTGGATTTGATGATCTTAGAAGTCTCCTCCATCCTTGATGATTCTATGATTCTGTAATCTTTGTGGGTCCCTCCCAGTTCAGGACACGCCATGGTTCTGTGGGAGGTGAGACTCATGATTCTGTGAGTCTCTTCTGTGATCCTATGATGCAGAGCTGGGTGAGGTTCACTCCTGTTTGCAGGCAGGAACATTTGCATGAGGCTGCTGTGCTGGCAGAAGCTGATGGCACTGTGTGTTTGGGAGAGCTCCAAACTCCCCAGATCATGTCCCTTTTCATGGAGTCACAGAGTCACAGAATATACAGAGCTGGAAGGGACCCCCAAGGATCATCAGTCCAACCCCTGCCCTGCACAGACACCCCAACAACCCACCCTGTGCCGAGAGCATTGGCCAAACACTCCTGGAGCTCTGTCAGCCTTGGGGCTGTGACCACTGCCCTGGGGAGCTGTTCAGTGCCCAAGCACCTCTGGGGGAACAACCTCTGCCTGATATCCAACCTAACCCTCCCCTGACACAGCTCCAGCCATTCCCTGGCTCCTGTCCCTGTCCCAGAGAGCAGAGATGGTGCTGCCTCTCTACTGCTCCTCTTCTTGGTGCTCAGCCTGCCACTCTCAGCAGCAGCAGGAACCACCTGCATGATGCTCACCTGGGGCTCCTCTGGCTCCCACACAAACTAAACTGGCCACTTTCCAGCTGGAGAATGAGTCTTAGAGTGGATACCACAGGGTGAAGGGGAGGCATGCAGTGAACACAGGACTTCCAGCAAGAAATGGGGGCCCATGGGGGCTCAGAGACCCTTTCTGCCCAGGCAAGGTGAGTTGGCTCCTCAGTGTGAGGCCACAGTGCTCAGCCCAGCTGACAGCTTGACAGCTCTGGGGTGAAAATTCCATGTAGCAGTGGCAGCAGGGTGAGCCTGGGGAGGAGATGCTGGCAAAAGCAGGTTGCAGTAAGCAGGATTGCAATGGAGGGGTGGTCTGGGTGAGTTTAGAGGGACAAGGACATGGGTGTCATCCAAGGGAGGAATGCTAAGTGGGTTTAACTGATGAGAAGTGACAAGAAGTAATAAGATTTTGGATATAAATGAGCTCCGTAGGTGAGGGACAAGTTGAACTTATCTGTTGGGGGTTACAGGACACTTCTGGAGGCTCAATCCTGCCTTGTGTCTTCCTCTCCAAACCCTCCAACCCCTCACCAGGACCCACAGACCTCCCATTCTCTGGGGGCTTTCCACCACCTCTGCAGCTCACACCCCTGTCCAAACCAGGCACCCCAATCACATCCCCCCTGGATGGAGGGATGCTTATGGGAGAAGGAGGAGGAGGAGGAGGAGGAAGAGATGCAGATGAGATCTTCAAACCTTCTGCCTTTTCCCTAGGCTTAGAAACAGGTTTTGAAGGCTCCTGGGTGTCCCATCCCCATGCCCAGGGGCAGCCCCAGCGGAAGCACTGCAGAAGGTGGGGAAGGTACTGGTACTCCTGCAGCAATTGCTCCTCTGCCTTCCAAAGCATCACCCCCATCAGCACCCCAAACTCAGCACTCCCTGCCTGCACCTCCCTGGGGTCCCAGCTCTGCCTGGGAGCAGCCCCCACCTCAGCACAGTGTGTATCCTGCTGGCTGGGGGTTCTGGGGGAGCCAAGCAAAGCCTGAGCCATGCAGGCAAACAAATCTTTTAAGCAGCATTACAAGTACATGAAAAGAAACCTCCAGGTTTGCTCTGACAGGGCAAAAATGGTGTTTTCTTATGCAAGTGGTGACCTGTGTTTCATTACAGACACAAAAGCAACAGCAGCCCCAAGAGAAAGAGCTTGATGCTCAGCTCAGAGGGGATGAGCCTGAAGACTTCACCCTGGTGACCGTGGGAGCTGACAAGGATGCAGCTCCACAGGGACAGGCACCTTCCAGCCTCTCTGTGTGCCTGGCAGCACTGCAGGGCCAGGACACAGCTAGGAGAGGGCAGCACATGAGAGATACTGGGAAGAGGTGTCAGTGATACCTGTAAGAGAGTTTGTTCCTTTATCTCCTCTCAGATGGGAATGTCCTTCCCTGTTTGACCTCCTCAACCTGCAGCTCCTGGGGAGGTGTTGTGCTGCCTTCTGCTAGTGTGAGAATGATCAGAGCAGTCATTTTGGTGATGGATATCTTCAAACTCCCCCAGTACCTTGCATTGAGGAGAAAACTCTGCTTCTGACTCCTAAAGAGCTTAAACAGCAGCAGCTCCAGGTGCAACTTCAACAGAAGTTCATTCTGGGGGGGGCTCAGAGCCTTCTTCTTCCCAGGCAAGGTGAGGTGACTCCTCAGTGTGAGTGCCAGTGCTCAGCCCAGTTGACAGCTTGAGAACTGCATTTGGCAGTGGCAGCAGGGTGAGCAACCTGGGCTGGTGGAAGGTGGGATATTGGGAAGGAATTCCTCTCTGTGAGGTGCTGAGACACTGGCACAGGTTGCCCAGAGCAGCTGTGGCTGCTCCATCCCTGGAAGTGTTCCAGGCCAGGTTGGACAGGGCATGGAGCACCTGGGGCTGGTGGGAGATGTCCCTGCCCATGGCAGGGGGCTGGAATGAGATGATCCCTTCCAACCCAAACCATTCTGGGATTCTATGACCCCAAATGTCCTGCAGGGCCTGAGACCTGGCAGAGCTCATGGGGCCTGTGTTGCAAAGGTGATGAAAGTCAAGCCACTGCCAGGAGAGAGAAATAGTTCTGGTTCTTCTAAAACGAATTGTCTTCTGGATTCCAAAAGTACCCAGATTTGTCCTGGGATCACTAAGAACATGGCAGTGCTCAGGTAGACAACATAGAAAGGGGCCAGGCTGCCCGTGGGCTTGGCTGGAGGGGTGAAGGCAGAATCTCTCAGCTTCCTCAGCCTGTTGAAGATGCTGTGATCCCCAGGACATGCTCCTGCTGCTTGGACAGGGGGTACAGGGGTGCTGGGAACTGTGTGCAGCGCCAGGCATGGCACAGCATCCTGAATCCCTTCCCTACTCCCTTCTCCCTGCTCCCTTCTCCCAGCTCCCTCCTGCCTGCTCTCTACTCCCTTCTCTCTGCTCCCAGCTCCCTGCTTCCTGTTCCCGGCTCTCAGCACCTTATTCCCTGCTTCCAGTTCCCTTCTCCTGTCTCCCTTCTGCCTGCTCTCTGCTCCCTTCTTTCTGCTCCCAGTTCCCTGTTCCCAGCACCCTATTCCCTGCTCCTGGCTCCCTTCTCTTTGCTTCCTGCTCTCTTCTCCCTGAACCCTGAACCTTGCTCCCTATTCCCGGCTCTTGGCTCCCTATTCCCTGCACCCTGCTCCCATCTCCCTGCTCCTTGCTCCCTGTTCCCTATTCCCTATACCCTGCTCTATCTCCCAGCTCCTTGCTCCCTGCTTCCTTCTCCCTGCTCCCCGTGGCTCCCACACAGGCACTGCGGAGGGAGTGGAAGTCGCTGTCGAAATTAATCGAGTGCAAATTAACACAACATCTGTTTCCTGTCTTTTCCCCGCGGAGTTTCCCGGGGGAGCTGAGGAAGAGCAGCTCACGGACAAGATGCTTGGGATGAGGGCAGAGCTGGGGGCATGAGTGAAGCTGCCCCCATGATACTCAGCCAGGGCTCTCCAGGAGGGTCTGGCAAGGGAATGATGAGCTTATTGGAGGCACCTAAATGCTTTGGGTCCATTTTGTGTGGTTGCTTTGGGTTTCCCTCCACATACTCACTTCACTCCCAAATCTGGCAGAGATGGAGCTCAGTGGTCAAGGTGTCAGAGAATCATAAAATCATCAAGTTTGGAGGAGAACTCTAAGAGCATCCAGTGCCTACCCCAACTACCCTGGGCAGGGACACCTCCCACCAGAGCAGGCTGCTCAAGGTTTTAGCCAACCTGGTCTTGAACACTGCCAGGGATGGAGCAGCCACAGCCTCCCTGGGCAACCTGTGCCAGTGCCTCAGCACCTCCCAGGGAGGAATTTCTCCTCAGTATTCCATCTGTCCCTGCCCTCTGGCAGTGGGAAGCCATTCCCTGTGTCCTGTACCTCCATCCCTTGTCCCAAATCCCTCTCCAGCTCTCCTGGAGCCTCTTTAGGCACTGGAAAGGCTTTAAGGTCTCCCTAGAGCCTTCTCCTCTCCAGGCTGGACACCTCCAGCTCTCCCAACCTGTCTCCAGAGCAGAGGTACTCCAGGAGCATCAGAACACTTCCAGGGATGGGACAACCACAGCTGCTCTGGGCAACCTGTGCCAGTGCCTCAGCACCTCACAGGGAACAAGTTCTTCCTAATATCCAATCTAAATCTGCCCCTCCTTCAGCTTAGAGCCATTCCCCTTTGCCCTATCATTGCTTGTCCTTGCAATAAGTCCCTCTCCATCCTTCCTATGTCTCCCCTTTAGGTACTGGAAGGGGGATGGA